GATATTAGTATAGGTAATAGCATGTTTTGTTGTGATATTTGGTATAAATACCACGAGTGGTATTTCAAAATTGGTATACGAAATTTCACGAGCCGTTAGGCGAGTGAAATTTAAGACAATTTTGAAATATCACTAGTGGTATTTATGCCAGATATTACGTACAAATCATGCTATTATTTGTTTATACTAGTACCCACAAAGGGTTTGTAATTTTCACATGTAGGTATTTCAAATTAAGCTGAAATACCACCACTCTAAGCCAATCAAATTGCAGAAATGTTTCATGTAGTAGTATAAACGCCATAATTTTTAATGGTTTCATTAGCGACTGAGCTGGTCCTCATAACCACTTCTGAGCTTCAGCGAACATTAAGATCAAGCTTGATTAGCATCTTTATAGCGTCACGTCTTCGACATAACAGACTGCTCGCATTTATAGCTAAAAAGTTTTCTTTATGTAAACATTTGTAATTACTCACCTTGCGGCCGTGATAGTAATTATTTACCTGTTTCGGTAAAGATCACAAGATAGCCAGCTTGTGCACAAGCGAAAATTAAACGAGAAAAAATTTGTCTTGAATGCCACGTGGCATTTGAGCGCGCAGTAGAGCAAGATTATATTACTTCATTTTTCCCGCTAATATTTCCGAATATGGTATTTCTGTAGTAAATTAACCCCAATAAGTAACGCATGCAGCATCTTGCTTGTGTTCTTTGTTCTGTTGCTTTTTATAAAGTCACCGTCAATAGATCCAAATGTTCTCTGATTCTGTTTTAACTGTTCCAAACGTAAAAATATTTTTAGAGAGAATTTTTTTAAAATTGGAAATAGTAGACGCAACATCAAATTGCTTGTGACCGGATATGTAGTCAACTATCTTACCGCAGATTGCCATATGCCTAATCGCAGGGGAGGCAAATGGCCGTGGGATTTTAACGCTTGGGCAAATGCCTGCTGTGAATTCCTGAACCGGCCTAAGCCTCTCATGAACTACGTCGCCCTAAACAAACATTTGGAAAAATTGCCACCACAGTATTAGATTAAGATGACAATTTGTTATGCCAGGGTTGCAATGACATCGGATTTGTGATAGCAACGAAATGACGCCATTCTATACTTATTTTACTTGCAGCAGTATTTCTCGGCACTGGGAACTGTTCTCCCATAACCGTCCACGGGAGCTTTTTCCTGCAATAGCCGCCTCGATGTTCGTGTAGTTTAAGCGAAATCTGTAAGAGCGTTATCGAAATATTTTGGGATGAAGTTTTAATGGTTAGAAATAGAGTAAAAAATGGACAATCGTGATGTTTGGCCGTTATCTCTAGAAAACGAAGCGCTTTTGACGTGCAATTTTACCTCATAGTAGTTTAAATCTTTTAAAAAACGTGTGTGAAAGATCATGGAGACAGCTCCAGCCGATTGCTACTGTATCGAGGCGTTCTCGTTAGCGGCTTTGTAAACGTTTCGGTCTATAGCTACTTTCACAAATTAGCGAATAATTTTCAAACCGCTCGCTAGATTTATTAAAACATTTTAGATTCTCGAGATTAAACGTCTTTTTAGGAGACCTCTGAGTCAATATTATTGATGTAATCTAAGGCAGTAAAATAAGGGCTACAATTCGCTAATTTTTTATCGGAAGTTTCGTGTTTACAAGTGAAAGCCTCTCATTATTCCTTTAATGGAATGCTAGTGTAGCATTATGCCCCCGGTACTCATTTATATTACTCACCTGGGTGAAGAAAGACGGGGGAGGGAACATAAGCAACAGAAATAATAATACTAAATAATATTACAATAATAATTTATTACTGTATTTCTATAGAGCGTATACATTGCCATACCTAGCTCTTCACCAAAATACATACTAATGAATATGAAAGTCACAAAAGCTCTAGCTATAAAAACAATAGAGTTATACAAACTCAAAAAATTACAAAAAGTTAAAAGGATGTCAATCAAGTTTTCTAAAACTTTGTTACAAACAAGAAGAAAAAAATTAAAGTTATATGCATGTTTAAAAAGATAAGTTTTCAATTTAGACTTTAAAATCCCTTACATTAGAACTAGCTTTAATCTCTAAGGGAAACTAAAAGGCTTTGACGGCGACGGCAGAGAAAACGTCACTTAAAACATGAATTCGTGCTGTTTAAAACTTTATCGCTACTATTCTACCTCGTTCAATTGTCAAATATTGGCGAATTTTTTTGGAGTTGAATTCCAAAGTACTGTATCCAAGTTCAGAAAAAGAGATTGAAGAATTGTGTTCACGTTCTCCATTAAAAAAAAGCGAAATTAAATAGTTTTACGTCGTAGTCGTCCAACAGCAACTAACTAATCTTAGCCGAAACGTCGAACTTTTCATGATACGAACAAACTTAGTGAGTTAAGCTCATAAAAAGTTCGACGTCTGGCTCAGTTAAGTTCGTCTGAATGAGTTTGGATCGTCCAACACGTTCCGCCTATCCGTCTACTTCAGACGGATAGAACGTCTGAAGATCGCGTCCGGGACGGACGAGGCGGTCTGCTCGTTCGGTAGAAAATGTATTAAAATTGCTTTTTGGTCTGATTCAGTTGATTGGTTCGACGCGTCCTATGTTCGATGTCACACCCAACAGACGATCTTAACTTAATTTATGTCGACCCAAATTAGAGTTTGGTTCGTGTCATGAAAACTTCGACTTTTGGCCTAGGCCATAGTGTATTGCTTTTCTTCTCGTTTTCGTTGCCGTCGCCGAGGAAAAAAACGCGGCAGCTTGAACTCAGACTTACTGATCCGTGGTGTTCGCCGCACGACCACCACACCTTTACAAACTATATAATCAATACAAAATGCTCACAAAGCAGACTGAAATCAATTTATTATGCATGTTAAATTTACGCTAGACTTTGAATCTCACCAGCAAAGGAACCTACAAAAAGAGAATCACAACTCTAATTTAGATATAAAATGAAATGTAAACTACCGTAAAATTCCGAAAAAAAAGCCCCTCCAAATATAAGCCCCCCAAACCGGTGACGCAAAAAACCCTCCGTTAAATAGCCCCTCCAAAAATAAGCCCCCCGGCGGCTTGTACTTGGAAAATTGCCCTCAAATACAAAGTAAAACAACACAAAAACGGTAAATTTACTTCCAACTATAAGGCTAGCCCAATCGATTTGTAAACGCAAATTTCCCTCCGTAGATAAGCCCCTCCGAATATAAGCCCCTCCAAAAAAAATCCCCTCAAAAAGGGCCTTTGAAAAATGTAAGCCCCGGGGCTTATTTTCGGGAGTTTACGGTAGATTCTAGATATCTTTACCCGAGTGACTTGCACCAAAAAATGAACAGGGAACTAAATCCAAATTTTTTACAAAATTAAATTATCCCGAAATTTTGATCTCAGTTAATTGCTACAGTGTACCGTTCATAACGATCGAGGAGCTTATTCCTAGTCTGCAAAAAATACTGATTAAACAAGAAATTAGGCCAGAAGTGCCCGTCACAAAATATTGATTAGTAGGATAAGTGAGGAAATCCTAATTACGCTACTCTCTAATTAAAAAAAAATGTCTGGAATTATTAGTATTTAAAGAAATCATAGACACTTTGTTGTCTAGATATATCTTCCACGACTAAAGGAGGTGGTAGAACTTTTCCTTTAAAACTTGTAAACCGTTTATCAGGAGAAGAGTAGGAGCAATGAAGCACAGAGACTTCAGTGCTGAGGGCTTTCCAACTCTTGTTTTATAATCGTCTTTAATTAACGGTAAAACTGTTGAATACTTTCTGCTTAAATCATTTTGGAAGAACGCGATATACTGGTCTTGCGTACACTTCAAGAATGAGATTTAGTTCATGTCTACTTAACTCCTCTTTGTGACCATTCAAAGCGTTATTTGCAGTACTTTGACAGGGTGCCAATTGTCCATGCATTTAAGAAATTCCTATAGAGCGTTTTCACATGGCGTCACGGCGGCCATATTGGTGTTCCAAAACAATGGAACGGCGGCCATGTTGGTGTACTGGGAGTTGAACTCTTTTCTTACGTAAAAACTTTCTTTTGTTCTAATAAATTAGCATAGGTGCTGGCCACGCTCCATAATTGATTTGGATCAAACATTTATCCCATATTTTGCACCGTAAACACATTTCATCGTTGCACAATTAACAAAGCTTGAACGAAGTTAAAAAAAAAACAAATTGTCAGTCCTTTGTACCCACTGTAATAGGGCCGTTATCGTAGTTATACAAGCCATCATTTCGAATTTTGTAAGGACAATTAGGAAAATTTAACTGCCCCCTGGAATTTAATCACCAGTGATGCACTGAATTTGTATGAAGTTATGTGGCCGTTTCAGCAGAGATGATACACGTTATTATTTAGAATTTTGACTTTTTTGCTTCTTTTCGTAGCGATATAAGAACCTCGATACTTGACAAAAAAGCTTAATTCAAAGCCCGTATTTTCTTTCCGAAGAAAGGATGAGGGAGAAGTGTTAGCACTTAACAAACGCCAAGGGAGTGGACAACACAAATTTCCGTCTGCAAGATGACATGGTCTTTTTCAAACGTCCTGTCAGTACTAAGTTCTATCACTATTTTTAAGCACTATTCAGCCACTAATGTTTGAGAAGCCCCCTCTTCAACTTACGCCAACTGTGATGTCCTCAAATAGGCTATTCTCTAGCGATTGTTTACTTTAGACTAAGGTGATACTCATTGAAGGTATAAGAACTGTGTACCGCACATTCAGTAAAGAGGGGTGTCATAGGGGTCGCAGTGCTTGTTCGAAGCGGAGGCTTAAAATCACGCAAACTGCCCCACACGTTGCCAGCGGTTTGTTCTTTAAAATCAGTTCGCCTATAAACAAATGAATGACTCGCAAAGACCTCCAAGTCAAGTGTAATAATTTGGTAGAAGTGGTGGAAGTTACTCAGTGTATTTGTGCTATTCTTACACAATGCAACATTTGATGCGAGTTTGCTTAACTTCCCTTTGTTTGTTTTCAACGAATCTTAAGTTGTTGACAGTTCTTTTCACAGTAGCATGGTGATTGCCGTAAAGCGTTTTATAAATGTTCAGGGCCTTTTCAAAACATTCTTGAGAAAAAAGGTACTGTTTAAGGCTACAATAAGTTTTACCAAGATTGAAATAACTCATTGCTTCAAAGACATGCCCTTCACCGTAAACCTCTTTTGTAATGGCAAGAGACTTCAAATGATATTTTTTAGCATTACGGTACCGACCAAGGTCACTGCAAACAAGCCCCAGGTTTCTGTAACTTTGCGCCACGTCATCATGGTGTTCACCATAAATCCCTTTTTTGATGGCAAGAGACTTCTCATGGTATTCTTTAGCCTGATTGTACTGACCAAGGTCACTGTAAACAGTTCCCAGGTTGTTGTAACTTCTCGCTACGTCAACATGGTGTTCCCCATAAATCTCTTTTCCGATGGCAAGAGACTTCTCATAGTATTCTTTAGCCTGATTGTATTGACCAAGGGAACTGCAAACAGTTCCAAGGTTATTGTAGCTTTGCGCTACGTTGCCATGGCGTTCACCGTAAATTTCTTTTCTAATGGCAAGAGACTTCTCATGGTATTCTTTAGCCTGGTTGTACTGACCAAGGTTTCTGTAAGCATCTCCCAGGTTGTTGTAACTTGCGGCTACGTCACCATGGTGTTCCCCATAAATCTCTTTCTTAATGGCAAGAGACTTCTCATGGTATTCTTTTGCCTGATTGTGCCGACGGAAACTAACGCAAACCGCTCCCAGGTTGTTGTAGCTTCTCGCTACGTAACCATGGTGTTCCCCATAAATCTCTTTTCTAATGGCAAGAGACTTCTCATAGTATTCTTTAGCCTGATTGTACTGACCAAGGTAATGGTAAACATTTCCCAGGCTGTTGTAGCTTTCCGCTACGTCACTATGGCGTTTACCATAAATTTCTTGGGTAATGGCAAGGGACCTCTCATGGTATTTTTTTGCCTGATTGTACTGGCAAAGGGCACTGCAAACAAGCCCAAGGTTGTTGTAGCTTGCCGCCACGTCACCATGGTGGTCACCATAAATCTCTCTTCTAACGGCCAGAGACCTCTCATGGTATTCTTTAGCCAGGCTGCATTGCCCAATGGCCATATAAACAACGCCTTGCACTTTAAAGTAGTTAGCCCTTTCAAGCTTATCCTTCAGTGCATCACTGAGATAGTTGACAAGATGAGAGGATAACGTACAAAAGAGATGTGCGTCCGATATACTGCTTAAGTGGCAACAGACTTCAGCAGTCGAGGAAAGCCAGGAAACTAAGATGCTAGGAGCAATGGAGGGGAATAATTCATTAACTATTTCTGTATTTGCAAAATTAGTAATGAAAAATTGATATAATTCTTTACAATGACTGGTAATTGTTCGAAACTTTACACACGCTTCCCCACTAACACGTAGTAGGTCCTTGTCTTCAATTAACGCATCAAAAACCTTAACAGCGACAGAAAAGCACTGAGCTTTATGTGTCTGGTGGAGGACAGAAGTAAAAACGTTTTTAAGTACTCCATGAACCACATCATGCACTTTGACGTAAGTGGGTGTACCCTCTTTGTCATACAAGCAACTTATCATGGGGGATTTCAGAATTCTAGCTCTGATCAACTCGTTTGTTTTCTGTTTTGTACGAAATTTAACAAAGTCAATGGCAGCCTCAATAGGTAGAGAATCAGATGCACACAGCGAAAACAAACAGAATACTTCACGAAGAACTTCGTCGCTTTCCAAAGCTCGAGTTATTGCCATTTTGATGGCAGTATTTGTCGTTTTGGGATATGCTACATTCTGTTTCGCAAAAAGCTCCTCTCTGGCTTCGCGTTCGTTGCTGTTAAACGTTTGCAGGTATTTTGTCCAACCATAATTAGGGTAATCATAGCTGGCAATCGTCTGTACGTAGACTGCAGCAGCTGCTAAGGCAAGTGGCTGATACTCAAGAACCTTAGCAACCTCCTCAACTTGTTGTTCGTTCGAAATTTGGGAGACTTCTTTTAAAAGAACTACTGCGTCATCTGCATGCATTCCTCTACTGAGAGACTCATGGTAAGTATAAGAAGCATTGGACGGTATTGAGCGGGTATCTTGTGTTGTTATCAGCACCTGTCCATGGCCCCATTCTGCAATGGCGGTGGGAGGCAGATAACTTTGAACCAAGGACAGGTCAACCACATTATCCACAATAATCAGCCAGTTAAAGTATTGTTTTATATTTGGAGATATGAAACGCTTCAGATGCTGAATCTTTTCACTTGAGTCGGCCTTCGTGGACGTTGCTAGGTTGGTCAGAGCGTATTCCGTAACTCCCAGATTTCTAGCTAGAGTGAAATAGGAGTCGGCAAGTGAGTCAAGGGTTTCTGCATTCAAAGTTGCAACAAATGTTAGACCTTCGTCCTTACGCAATCTTCCGTCAAAAATTTCCTGTCCTACTTGGCGAGCAATTTGACTTTTGCCACAGCCTGGAATTCCTGATAAATAAATGGCGCTGATGGCCTCTTTGCTTTCATTATAAAGTTCCTCCAGCTTGTTCTTGATTCTTGTTACATCCTTTGAACGTCTGATGATTTTGTGTGATGGTTTGAATGTAACATTACAGAAGGATTTAACTTTGGACATGATTTCCTGAGTAAGGGTTTCTACTTCTTCCTGCTTAATTTGCAATGTGTTTTGTGACAATTGCAATTCGGAGTTTAGATTATTAACTTCTTCATCTTTCTTTTTTAACTCAGCTTTAAGTTTGTCAACCTGCATCTTCAAGGTATTCAATTCTGCTGTGGGAAAACTAGTCTGACTTTTAACATCTTCGACTTTATTGATTGGAAGTTTCAAAGATGTGAGTGCAGCTATCACTATTGCTACATAATTTTGGAATTCAGAATTAGCAATTTCAGCATCGTTTATCGAAGCGATATCGTTTCGAACCTGTCGGAGACCGTCGACTTCTTGTCTGATTGTCGCACTCAGAGTAGTGCCAATAGTATCCGAGAACAATATCGCAAAAATCAGACAACTGCAGTCCCACTCCGCCGTGTTTCCCTTTTGTATTGTCGTTAAATAGCTGGTATTCTTGTTTTGGCTTTTTTTGGTTTCGTTGTTGTAGAAATCATGGCCATTTTGTGGAATGTCTTTCCATTCCCCAAACGGAGTTGTCATGTAAAGGAAATTCCACTCCTGTTTGAAGACTTTTCGAAGTCCTTCGGGAACCAGGTTGAAAGCGATGTAACATATTCTGAAATAGTTTAACTGCTCTGAAGTATACTCCATTCCAACTTGGGATCTAGTGAAAATCAGTGAAAATAAAAAAAAAACATCAGGGGCATCTTTATACGCGAGGGTAGAATAATCAGTTTATAATTGGCTATCACTAGATTAAAGTTTTTTGAAGGAAATGAAAAAATGAATCATGGTCAAGTTTAGACACTCAGTACACAACTTCAGTGACTATCGTTCCATCATCCCATGCCGTAGGTCACCCGGGCAATTCACTACTGCTTCAACCACTTTTGTGTGCGTAGGAGCCGAGGATGCTGAAATTGTTTCTGAACTACTTGATTAGATGGTCTCCACTTATCATTATTTATTCATACACATATTACTCATACACATTGTTATTAACTGAAATGACACTGTGGGTGGCTTCTCCTAAAATGCTGTACAATTGGTATATGATTTTTTAGAGCCGAAACCAATTGTGAAATTGCACAAATTTTAGACATCCTACTGATTAACAGTTACGACATATAGATATTTCAAGCAACTACAATTTGTCGTCTACCGTCTTTGAAAATTTCCACGACAATAAAACGCTTAAATTACGACTTATTTTACGGTGTACCTAATGGGTAAAAGAGTGCTGCCTTGGTGTCAATGAAACAAGTTTATAAAATCGTGCATTCTAACAAGAAGATTAAATTCCAAAAAGACCAAAGTTATGATCTTTCAAAAACGAGCGAAGAAAAACTCCAATCTAGAATTCCATGTAGGTAAAGAAACCATTGTACAATATACATGAATATACATATTTAAAAAAACCCGTATCTCCTCAACTGGTAATTTTAATATCTCACTCGAACACCTGAAAGAGAAGGCTCTTCATGCTCTTTTTGGTTTAAGAAAACACGCAAACCTCAGCAAGGCGATGATTTCCCCAATTTGGGGTGTATATGTAAAACATGATTTTAAAGCTTGGGACAATACCCCAACTGAAAAAACCCACTTGAAATTTTGCAAGCGTTACCTAGAAATAAGTAATAAAGCCTCCAATGTTGCAAGCAGAAGTGAATTAGGACGATTCCTATTAGTTATTAATATTTACAAAAACATCCTTCATTATGTATTGTAACTTCTACGTAAAGACGAGGATACTATTGTTAAACAAGCCCTTCGTACCTCGCTAGAACTTCACTATATAGTTATAATGGTAAAAAAAGCTTATACCATAATCTTATCAAAATATCTGAATGTTGTGACCTGCCCGATTTTGATCCTAAATAATTTAAACACTACTTAACAATTAGTTCATGCGTCAGCGTGCGTATGTCGAGATATTGAGCACGCGGAAGTTTGGAGAGCACGAAAGAGGCGTAAGAGTTGCACGAGGCGCAGCCGAGTGCAACTCTAGCCTCTTGAGTGCTCTCCAAACTTCCCAAGTGCTCATTATCTCGACATACGCACAGCTGCAGTATGAACTAATTGCTTTATAACATTATCAAAGCGATCAATGCATCAGTTAACTTAAAATTTTATTATTGTAGGGCGCGCTCAAAGCATCACGCGTCAATGTTTACGTGAGTATATTTTTTTCCTCACAGTTAAGCTTATGTTTTCATCCTGAAACTGAGAGAAAGTGTACTCTAAAATGATTGTAAAATCCATATTTAGGTGCCGGAAAACTATTAATTTACCGAAAAATTGTTATTGAGAGAAAACAACTTTGCAAAGAATGAACTCACGCCATAGCCCGCACAGCTCTCGGAGATGACAACAACAA